TCGTAATTATTTTGGTTACTCGTAATTATTTTGGATACTCGTAATAATTTCAAACATTTGTTACGAATATTATCACAAATGATTATCGATTGATAACAAGAAGTACCCCAGGACCAGAACGTTTACTAATTATTGACACATAAAAAAACAATTGTTTGTTTGAGCGAAGGAATAAGAACAGGTAACAAAATTGTTGATTGACCAATCAAAATCATGAATTTGTCAACAATCACTTCACCAACAGTTGTTTCGTTAACAAATGGTTTGAATTTAAGAAATTGGAAGTTACGCCAAAAAAATTAAAAATGACGGTTTTGCTTTATAGTATGCTAATGCCCATAATTATACCATAATAATTCGTTATACCATAATTCGTATAAAAATTGTCTTAATAAAAAAGCTCATTCTATATCTAAAATAGTCATACTACTTATTGAACTTTATCAGCAAAAAATTAGATGTTGCTTTAATTATGATAATCAAAGGCCGTGTTTTCTCTTTGAAATTTTCAAACAAATAATAGTGATAAAAATAAATTAAATCCTGAATTTTCTTAGTTCTAAACTAAACAAATTCTACAAAAATTTGTAACAATGTTAGTTTACACTTTATACATTAAAAAAAAAGTAACAGGCATTTATTTAATTGAATCATAAAGAAAGATTCAATAATATTATTCAATTTGATTTGATCTACAAGAAATCAAAGGAACCAATTTCAATCAGAATTTTTGATTCATTTTTTTAAATCAAACACCCAACGAAAGTAAAAAATTTGTTCCAAAAAATTATTTTATCCTAATGATAAATCCATTATCATTGCCTATGTCATTGTCATATCATTGTCATATCCTTGTCCATGTCCTATTCTTATTCTTAAGAAATCAGTTCATTTCCGTGAAACTCTGATTTACTTTTTGGGACATTCTTTAATTAGACTGGTTTTGTTGGTTTTTTTATTATTTATTTTAAACAAGCTTATATATAACTGAGAACGCAATGTGAGCCTTTTGCTTTTCGTGTTACAAAACACACATACTGTTCTACACGAGAATAAAAATTCAATTAAGTTGGATTTTGCGTCTTCTTCGTCACAAAGAGCAAAAAAATGACATCACTCGGGCCAAGGCAATAGTCTATTTTATTAAATTCGAAACATATAAATAGGACAGCCGTCCAGTGTTGTGACCCGAAACTCTGAGTTTAGGGAAAACCCGAAACAGAAACTAACATAAACTAGTTTAGGTTAGTAGTTTATGTTTAGGTTTAGGTTTAGCTTTAGCTTTCTGCTTAGTGTAAGTTCATTTTCCGAAACGTTTCGGGAAGCCAAAAAAGTTTCTGGTCACAACACTGCAGCCGTCCAAACTTTTTTTTTTGTTATTTTTTCGTAGAGAAATTCCTCTCAGGCCATTTCAGCGCACGGAACTCAACCTCCTACATTCGGCCATATGAAATAATTGTTCGTTATTATTATACAACGTTATTACAGGAGAGACCGTTCTGGTAACACAAAATTTTAACCCACGCAATTGTTGATTGATTGACCAATTAAAATCGTGAATTTAAAAATAAAACATTTAATGTGGGTTTGATTCATTTTGTCAACAATCACTTCACGAACAATTGTTTCATTAACATTAACAAATAGTTCGAATTTAAGAAATTGGAAGCAACCATTTAAAATAGTCTAATAAATTAAACCGTACTACTTGAAAATGTATTTAAAGGGTTGGTTTTCGACTTGGTTGAAGAATAACTATCTTTCTAACTCTTCTCTTGACCATATCTCTCGATATAATCAAAATAACCTTAATATAACGAATGTCAAAATGATTGCAAACGTGACCAATTTAAGATATACGATCAAGAGGAAACATGAACAATGAATGAAAAAATCAAACAAATTTATTTAATAAAACAAAATTTACAACTCAAAAAAATTTTTTTTTTGCATGTAATAAAATTCCATTATTAACTATTGTTACCGGAATTAAATTTGGACGCTCTTTTGGCTGAATTTAACTAATTCCGAAATTCTTAATTTTTATTATTATTATTATATTTTAGTTATTTTATTAATTTTATCCGTGTTACATCTATTTTCGTAATACGCTTTATTTTTATTTCGTAATTTATTTAACTTATTTAAGAAAGAATCGTCTTGGGATATCGTCGCAATTTTGAGATATCGTCACAATTATGGGTTAACTTCTCAATATTGGGAGAATATCTCAATTTTGGGAAATTAGAATTACTAATTAATTGAATTGTATATAAGGAGCTTGAATTCAATGTACTTGTAAAGTAACTTTCTAACAAGTTAATTAGTTTCGACTAAGAACTAAATAAATAAAATAAATACCTTATTTAAACTTTTATCTTCTTTAAACAAAATTATTCGCTAATAACAAAATCAATTCATTGATCCCCTATTCATTCTGATCCACGCAAAAACAAAAATAATTGTTATCACCAATTAAAATACGCTCTCCCAAATTTAATCGGTGACATTAATAATGTTAATAGGGTATTTTTTATAGGCCAAATGCAACTTCCAACATTTTTTTAGTTAACACATCACAAAGAACATTGTGAGTTTAATAAAATTCAATTTCCATTCATATTCAGATTTCCTTTATATAAATTAAATAATGGTTGTCATTTTTTTTTTCAAAATGTTTTTTTGTCTTTGGTCTCTTTATATAAAAAACCCTCAAATAATGGAAATAAAAAGATTAACAAATATTTGTCAATAATTTGGTATTAATTATATTATTAACTATTTTTACAAAATATTTCATGATTACCTTATCATTCTATGCATATGATTGATTGTCTTGACAATATTTTTGTCATAGTAATTATTACTATCTAGATTCTAATGAATGAATTATCAATATCATTTTATTCAAATCAATAAATTAAATAGATTGCCAATATCAATTTTCTCAACTTATTTATTGACTAATACTAATTTGATTATCATCATTAATATGTGAAAAATTATGATTAATGTCATACATTGATCTAGAAAGTCATTTAATTTGTAAATAATTTTGTAACCAATCAATATTAATTAATTAATTAATTAATTAATTAATATAAATTCTATAAATGCTTTTACATGACATGTACAACTTATTGACCAGAATATTTTTCTTCTTTCTTTTTTTTTAAAGATGATAATCGTAATTTTCTAGAATTAAATTAAGAAATGTCTATTTTTTTCTAAAATCCCCAAAATTAATTATCAATAATTTGTAAAGGTTTTGAAAGCTACTCCAATCAATCTTTTAACACTTCTCCATTTTTTTTTCCTTACTGCTATATGAATTTTTGTTAACATAAATTCCCTATGTTCTTCTAATTCTGCTCTGCTATATTTACCTTTACTTGGACCAGCTACTTGTAGAACAGGAACTTGTTCTTGTAAAGACTTATTAAATAAATAAAGTTTAGGTGGACTGTCATTAAATCTAACAGAAAGTCTTGATGCCTTAATTGTTCACCCACCACCAAGAAATAAAAAATCAATCAATTAATTAATTTGCTATATATAAATAAATAAATAAGCCAAACTATTTTCTGCCTACTTGATTTGAATTTGTTTTCAAAATGCCATTTTTAGTACAAAGCCATCTGCTTGGGAGGTTATTTTAGAAATTTTTTATTATGAATTTACTAAACAATAATGTTATAAATCTTGATAAATATTTTTGGTCAATTCTTTCTATAAAATTTGGTAGTATTATCAGTAAAACTTTATTAATTCCCAATAAGATCAATAAACAACATATTATTATTGAATAATCAATATCCGAAGAAATGAGAGAGAAAATTGGATGTTGATGTTTTTGTTGAGAAAAGAAGTATAATATTTTCTCTAAAAAACCTTGCAATATAAAAGGTAATGCTTGATCTACTATCTTTGACAATAAATATATCGGTATTGGATAGAGTATGATAGAAATTTGTTCATGTCACAATAAATTTGTGATATATACGAAGTCTACTCACGCCCCTTGGGATCAGGTAAATGCGTGATTACAAATTAATATGATTGTAGAGGGGTGTCACGCATCTTATTAAATACCATCATAGTGTCGGTGATATTAAAATAATAAACAATATAAAAATATTATAAAAGAATAAAATTCATATAGAAAATTAATACTTGATAGGAATTATATATATAAATAATTTTCTTGAGCATGTTGCTTCAAACATACAATCAAACTATTTATGGCGTAGTCTTCAAAGCTTAATTGAAAGCACAATGGCTGAGAGCAACGTAACAAACCTGTACAGAAATGAATATTTGTTCCACTCTGGATATATTCTGAGGTTCTGAGCAAGCAACTGTTGGTGATAGGATAATTAATTAACAATTTAAAACCACGGAAATGACAGCATCAACTCCTTTGCCAACCTGTTCCGATTCTTGTATCAAGCAATTCAATTAATTAATATATTCTTTAATAAAATTTAACATGGCACAGTAATATTTACTTGTCTCGGAAATGCATCTAGCACTAGACATATTCCAAATAACTGTACTCGCTCTATACGAACGATAATATAATGTTTCCATCTTAATCTATGTCTCTGATATGACGAGCACTCGTCATTTGAGTGATGTCTGAAATTGCACTTATTATCAAAATACAAATTTTTTGTCATCCGAGGCTGAGGTAATGCAAAGCATCCTAGCATACCTGATTCATGAAGGTAACAAAAAAAGTAAGCCAGGATTGTAGTATCAAATCAAGCTCATTTTATACTTTCTGCTCTAGCCACGGGTTTTGAATATCATGTCATCAATATTCAACACGTTTTCTCGAGTCTTTAACTTTTTTATTTATATTAACAAAGATATAGGATTGGAAATGATTGACGAGTTTTTTTAATTACATTTTCCTTTTCCAATTATCCAAAAAAGTATATTATCCTAATAAAATTATATGAGCAGGATATTGTCTTTATTAAAAAAAAAAAAGTATATTACTCGTTATCTACTGAAGTTTCTAAATTATAATTTTCACTATGAGAAAGGACACTTTGGTGATGCTCATTCGGTTTTACATCATTACAATAATTTCCATTATCTTTTAAAATATTTTGGATCAGAAATCACTCCTCCTTTCTCTCTTGAGGGGCTCGTTTATTTGACCCAAGTAAATAAAAAATAATAAGCATATCATGTATCATCATCACATTACCCTACTTGTAACCCATGGCTACATTTGGAATCATTTGAACTTTTGGGTAAAACCGCCAAGGGCAATTCTCACCTCCAAAGGAGTAGAGGTTGGCACCGCGCAATAACTTTATTAATCAGTTAACCGGTCTAATTTAATTACATAAAATTTTTTAACTGGCAAAACGAATAATTCGAAAAATATAACTGATATGGTAATAGCATATGCACCATCCAATCCAATCAAAAAAATTTTATAGTCATAGTATGGTTTCTATTCAAATAAGAATTATTCGTTTTATTTTTATTTTTGAATATTCGAATTACAATGAATGTTTATTCGAATATGTAAAACGAATAATTCGAATAAAACGAATAAAACGAATAAGAAACTCTAATACCCAAGCCCACCCAAAAGAAAAAAGTAAAGATTGATGTTCTCTACGGCAGCAGCATTACTCATATTTATTTCATCATTATAAACATGTTGGCATATAGATTATGTTTGGTTTTTGTATATTTACTTTTATATTCTAGTTGGAATAAAATTTGTAACACTGTTAATATTAACCGGTTAACGGTTCCAACCTCTACTAACACTAACAGATATAATATTCAACAAATAAACTTGACCTTTGCTTGATTTATCTTTTCAATATAATTTAAGATTATTATTCCACAATCTAAAATTCCACGTTGATGAGGAATTTCGCCAATATAATAAATTTCATTTTGAAAGAGATTCCATGAAATTCAAATAATCTGTTAATCATGTAATTGGAGCTTCACAATATAAAAATAAATCTTCTTGGTATCTAAAATCTAGTTTTACAACTCTAATGATTATAGCTTGTGCGTAATTATATAGATATTTAATTTTTTTCCTAATAAACTATACATGATATCAATTTTCCATCGTTTAAACAATTGTATAAATAAATATATTAAAATCATTATTTTTAAACCACCATATCATTAATGTAAATGGTTACACTATTAAATTCTTATTCTCGTAATTTGCCAGAAACGGAAAGAAATACATTCATCACATTTCCTTTCTATCATTTGACCATCTTTCATAACAAAATCAGACGAACATTATTATGTCACAAAGAAATTTCAAGGATCTCCTTTTTAATAGCAGGGAAAAACTAAAACAGAAAAATCAATAAATTTTGTAATGACACCACCAAAATTATTCTGTGACTTGTCTGGTCTGTTGCACATTGATTGATATACAATGGATGATAATATTAATGAACAAATGAAGGAAAGCATTTTTTTATTTAAGTTAATATATATCTGTATGTAGATTATTATATAGAATGAAAATAAATAAATGAATGATTTATTCTGATTTTTGTTGTTTACTAGATCTTTCTTGTTCTCGTTTAGCATAGATCATTGATGTAAATGGCCTAATAACAAGTAAAGAGAGGAAAACGATTAATTATTATTATCATTTCAATGTGTATATTCATATATAGATAAATATCAATCAATCAATCAATCAATCAATAGAAACTTTAGAAGGAAATACTTGCCCTTCATATTGAATTGCAACCAAGTAAACAATAAAAGCAAAAGTTGATAAAAGAATTCCAGCTGGGCTTGCATACCTAATTATGCACAAGCACACACATATATATAATAAATTTATCACTTGTTTAATTAATTATTTGTCAGTGTGATTTTTCCATAATATAACAATGATAATAACTACCATAAAGCAGTTCCAAGAAAACTCATTGTAGAACCATAATCCATTGGATCTTCAATAATATTGAAATGAAATGAAGTGACTGTTTCAG